ATAATTCCTCGTCTGAATCATCTCCACGGTAAACAGCCGGATGACCAGGATATGAAGAGGGTATCAGGTTAATAATATTTACAAGTGGGCGTTATTGAAGATAATTCACAGTAGATATCTAGTCAATATAGTGGATAACCCATCCTGCACACATACAACTATCTACTTTGCGAATTGATATCTGTTTTGAATGACGTCCATATTGAAAACTTAGGGTAGTATTTTGTTATGCGGTTCTAATTCGTTTTACATCTTTCATACACACAAATGCTAAATATACATTTTCGATTTCATTCAATATGAAAATGGAAGCAAAATACATAGTGTTTTCGACTAAAATTCTCGATGTAGGAATTGCAATGTCGGCCAACTAGCTCCGTGCCTGTTTTTAAGTGGAGATACTTGTAGACAGAAAGCATACGTTTCGTATGGTGTGTAACCTACACCCAGCTGACCACTCGGATATTGACCATCAATCAAACTTGAACTGATCATATCATATCATAACATCTGTTAGCTCTACCAGACCTTTCATCACAATTTTAATAAATCAACATTCATAGATGGTGGAGATAACCAAATGTAATGAGGTTTAGTTGTCTACTTTCAATCGCATCGACTGGGCTAATGAAGACGGCCATGTTCCATACAGTGTGCTATAGTGAGGGAAACTTTGTCTTGTCTTATATTGAATTCCAACTGTCACGGTTTTTTACGTGCACGTTCTTGGTCCCATCCGAAATACTAGATGATGTTCCTTGCCAGAATTATGGAAATAAAATTGTACAATATGTAAGTCCCGAAATGATTTTACACTTCTGTCATCCGAATCCATTATCAATGTTTTCACTTAATAGCTGCGAATATTCAACTATGGTTTTCATTCAATAATAAGCCCCTCCCCTCTCTCTCTCTCTCTCTCTTCTCTCTCTCTCTCTCTCTCTCTCTCTCATTTAACATGTTTTTTATTTCTATCCCACTTCTCCATTTTCATATATTCAATATGCCATCGCTTGTGCGTATGGGTCTTTAACAGTGGGGAAGGGGGGTGGGGGCAGAGAACCCGGAGAAAACCCACGAGGTTGGACAGGAGACCCTACTCCTTGTCATGTACATGAGGGGAATCGAAACTACGCCACTTAACCCAAGGAAAGACCTTCTGATCCAACGCGCACGCGTTAACCATTCGGCCACCCATCCCCTACTAAGTGGGCGGACTTGACGGGATCGAAGCATGTGCAAATGTGCAGGGAAACGCTTTTTAATTATAATCCATATACAACAATACAGAGGCAGTTTACACGGCTCACATTATTGTACATTTTACCTAAATACACAGTAATTTAGTCTGAGTTTAAAAGCAGGTGAATCCGGCCACCTACCTGTCCATATTAAGTATTTAATTAATATCTAATTAGTAAGTTAAAAGCTTGAGTAGTAATCTTTATAATTTAATATAAACTAATTATCAACATACACACTATTGAATACGATACGGAGCGTTAAATATCTTCTTATACTCGTACAGGATTAATAATTACAGGTGAACATCAAAGAAACCGCTGACGGTTGTGTTAATTGAATATTAACAGCAGGTAGTCTGACTAGATGGGTTGAATCCTCCCGATAAATTCGCCATCTTTCTGCCTTAATGGTGATTATTATTTCCCTAGTTCACGCCTGATTAGAAATGAGCACGTCGCCAAAATGGTTCCTTTTCAATTCACACAATGCTGATTCTCTCATCCGTTCACCCAGCTTCTCTTTTGACAAGATATTGGCTCTTACAATATTGTAAAATATGTGCTATTTATTTATGAAGTCAGCTAAATATCTTAAGTGCAGGGCTCATAGTATATAAAAAAGGGAATATGAATTTTTAATATTTCTTAGAAACAAATTGACTATCTGTATCTGACGTTTTAAAAGTTTTACACACCTTCAAGAAACTTCCGCAGTTTATCTACCATCTATATATATTTAAAGTTAATAAATCGACACATCTTTCTTCTTATAGAGAAAGGTTTTTCTTCGTAATATCAAGCTTTTAAGGTTTGGAATAAAGTTACATTTGTTATTAAAAACAGTCCTAGGTTGAAATGAAATGGGGTTTAACGCCCAACTATTCTCACCGACTGGGCTAATCTAGACGGAGTTCAATGGCGAGAGAGAGAGAGCAATGGGGTTTAACGTCCACTCGACACAAACTAGGTCATTTCGGGACTAACACATGGTTCAATTTTATTTCAATAATTCTTTTGCGCGTAGGGGTCTTTAGCAGTGGGGAAAACCCACAAGGATGGACAGACGACCCTACTCCTTGTCACGTACAACCGGGGAATCGAAACCCCGCCGGTTGACTCAATGACAAGCCGTATGATACAGCACGCACGTGCCAACCTTTCGCCCCCCCCCCCCTTAGTCCTATGGTTGAATCGTTTGTTGTTTTATTTTTTTGTTGTGCTTTCGTTTTTAAAACCTAAGAATCATTTATTTTTAAAAATGTATAAAATTGAAATTAATTTTTTTAGTGGTTTTATCTGATGGTTGTCTTATCTTGCGTTGTCTTTTATAAATTACAATATTTTTATATTTATGTTTCAAGTTGTTTTTATGTTTAGATTATGTCATATCCAATATAGGATATAGGATTTACGCCTTGTAATAACTGTTGTATCATACACTGGGGAATTAGCCAGGGATACACAATGTCGGAATACTTCCTATCTCAAGCGAGCATTTTATTAAAGGCTCAATACCACTCTTGTTGTAACTGAATAATATGTCCCAATCTTTATTCTGGTCAACAAATTTTACTATTTTAAATATTCCAATTAATTGATGATACAAATTTCATCTTAACACACCTAATTTAAAAAATTGGAAAAATCCAACTAAATGATTTGAAAAGCCTGACGTAAAGCTTTTCAAATGTTACTTGGATTTAAAAATGTTTTTGAACCCTCTGGATAAGTAAAATAGGATTTAATTGATAATTTACACAACAGGTAGGACACTAACACATCTAGTACTTAGAATAAGGCTATTTTTTATTTTCTGGAGCTGTCAAGCTAGCAAGAGTGTTATTGTCCCTTTAAAGATTTTCCTTTTCTGTACCAACCTGCTTAAAGATGCATTTTGTAAGAGCTAAATCTGCCTAAAGCAGGTTTTTATTTTGGCTTCAAATGTTAAATAAATTATTAGTTAGACATTTATTCACATGGCAAGCCTATAATCAACTCTCTAGACCATCGGATGGTCGAGATTTAAACGGATTGAAATACGATCGCCATTTAATGATTGAATTTACAAATGGAGCGGTGAGGTTGAGGCTAGATTAACAAGTAACCTAGCTACGATAATAAACAATCTGTGCTACATCTTCCAACACCAATAACTTCGCTCAGAAAAAATTAATTTGAATGAAATTTTCAATATATTCATTTTTCATTTTTCTTGTCTATTTTGGAACTATTATAGCAAGAACAATCATCTCTGTGTCTAAGTCTTACATAATGCATCTTTAATGCAAATGAGTGTGCTATAATATAAAGGGAGTTTAAAGGGGCGGGGGTGGGGGAGAGAGAGGGGGGGGGATTAACGTCCACTCGACACAAACTAGGTCATTTCGGTACTAACATATGCTTCAATTTTATTTCAATAATTCGCTTGTGCGCAGGGGTCTTTAGGCGTGTGAGGAAACCTGAGGACGCTGGGGAAAACCCACAAGGTTGAACAGGCGACCCTTCTCCGTTAGCCCGTTCAGACGCTTATTTTTAAACCAGTTCATAATCGCTGGGGTTTTTAAGACAGCATCGTATTCTGACCTCTTCGGTCGGAGGTTAGAGTTAACTGCGCATGGGTAGCTTCATATTCTTTATTCGGTTCTCGCACGCTTTCGATAACATTGGCACTGTCTGACCCCAATATTTTCACAGGAATGTAACTAACTGCGTACTGCGCATGCTCGAAGCAAGCTGGAGCTGGGGTTTTTAAGCCAACCCGTTCAGACGGCTAAGATGAACCAGTTTAAAATAAAAAGCCTTCTCAAAGACAGGTCGCGAGCAGGGGTTTTTTAAACTGGTTTATTTGCCCCACATTTGCGTTCAGACGCTTAAGTTAAACTGGTTTAAGGATCCCCGGGGGTTTTAAACCAGTTCAACATAAGCGTCTGAACGGGCTACTAGTCACATACAACCAGGGAATCGAAACCAAGGGAATTTAACGGGATGTGGGATGTATAACCGGCATCCAACGTTATACACGGAAACTTTGATTTTTGTCCCATCCCAACAACGTTATACACGGGACCTTTGGTTTTTGTCCCATCCCAACAACGTTATACACGGGACCTCGGGTTTTTGTTCCATTTAATAAAATTGAAAAAGGTTATTTAGTCTTTGTGTGTATGACAGATGTGAAACGGAGTAGAACCGCATTTACAAAAAAGGCTGTATACTAATTTTTGGATATAGTGGCCATTTACAAAACACGTATACTAATTTTTGGATATGGTGGCCATTTAGGGGAGAGATCTATTCTCCAAGTATGAAGTAGATGTATCTCTAGGTGTGCAGTTAAAATTTAATTTTATCCAGGACTAAATCCTAAATCAAGAAGATTTTTTTAAAAGTTTTTTTTTTTAAACAAATCAATTATGTGGTAAATTGTCATTCTATCATGTCTGTTTGGCTGAACTCGTACACTAATGTCGAGTTCCCATCCATCGAAAAGTCACGAAAACACACATAAAACCCTGTCGTCTGGTAGCCCCGATTAACTTTTCACTTGACCCTTGTAGTCGCGATTAACATTATACCCGACCGACCCTTCTAGCTGTCGCGGTCAAGTTAGTGTTACGTCTGACTTTGAGGCGACACTACTAGCAGGAGCAAAGACGACGACCTTTTTTCGTTTAAACATTTTCTCGTTGCTCCGACATTTTGGTTTTTCTGTATTTTCTAAGTAAACGTAGAAAAAAAAAATTATAAGTCAAAAAAGACTGCTGTTGTGGTTCTATTCAAGCCGTTAAACAACGTCATTGTTTTTTAAAAACTGTTTAAACCGACAAATTAAAGCCAGTGAAATACGCGGTTATCTCCCTTGAATACATTTGCCCACGTGATTTTTCAGTTGCGATTTGCCCGGCTTATCGTTCTGTGTGTGTTCAGTCAATGAAAACCAGTGTGGAACATAGTTAATACACGAACGAGGAAAGCAGCGAGACTTGTCCTGTGTGAATGTTATAACAACTTTGTTACGACAGGGTTTGAGTGTCACTGGAAAATATTATAGTGAACGAAAAGTGAACCGACTGTTTGTTGTTTTTTTTATATATATTATTTTGTGAATTTAATTTCTTGAGTGAGGTGATTTCATACAACATTTTTCAAAAATGCCTTGGAACTGGAATTTAGCAGCTTTGTGGATTCTTTTATATCTAACAATCTTAGCTCCAACTTTACACGTTGTTTCAAAGCGAATACCAAGACATCTGACAGTATATTGGAACGCAACAAACCCCATGTAAGTATATAGATACATGTTTTTATATATAAATTCCGCATGGTTTCACGGAACATTCCAACATGTAATAGAATTGATTTTGAAGACCAAATAATAAAAGAAACATGCTAAAATGAAGGTTTACACATCTGACGATATGAAAACACGACCAAATATATGAACAATAGGATGGGATCATGTTCCGTTAATTGACTTTCGTTGTTGACATTTTAATAGAATTCCATCCAGTCAATGTTTAATATTTTGAAACGAGGAGAGAGCGAGAAAGAAATGATGAAGTCGTGTCGACGATGTCGTATCTCACTCATTCACCCCCTATTATAATGGCATAACATCTGACATCGTATACAAGACCTCGCGTGTCGACCCTTCATAGCAACATATTTAAGATTATTTATTACCCCTTAGTTGAAATAAAGAAAATCACATCGAGGGGGTTTGGAGAACTTTGTAATTTCAACACTCGTGGTATATTTACTGTGGTATATGAAGTTATTGAACGGTATATACGTATATTGGACCGGTAGTTATTTGAGATAGTGTGTATTATAAGCTGGATACATGGTGTATATTGATTCCTATATCACAGTAAACTATATAATACACACCTTTAACAATGTGTTTCAATTTTAATAATTTTTAATAGTATGTCATACACAAGTGCAGGAGGACCCCACTGCACACAATTTAAACAAACCCCATCAGACAAACCTGATGATCACAAACAATAAAACAACAAAGGTATCTGGAATAACAGCGAGATTTTTTATGTAATACTTCGTAACTTGGACGATCATGTTTGATCCGACTCCCTTTTCTATTTCCATCACTTTTACACCGAAAAACTAGCGGTTAGACGTCCGTACTGTGTCCACATGGAACTTCCTACTTTCAATTAGGGTTAGGGTTATAGGGTCAGGTATTTAAGATTAAAACCTATAACACAAAAATGGGAATCACATCAAACATGAATGCCGTAACTTGTTTGAACCAAGGTGGTGGCACAATCAAAAAATCTTTTAGTTCAAAATCATGTTAAAAAATTAAATGTTTTTGACTAATTTCAAATTATGTCTAATCCAGTTTTATGAAATACCTTTCATAGGTGATTTCATAGTAATAAGGGTAATGTCACATCGTATCAAAACCTAGCTCTACAAAAGATTCACTAAAAACATTGAGATTGTCTGATTTGTTTCTTCTTTGAGAGATAGAGGTGCAATAATTAAGGTACCTCCAAATCATGTCTTATTAAAAATATTCCTTCAAAAAATGATGTTTCACATTGAAGTCATATTTATTCTAAATATCATTTTAGAGTGAAACTTGCGACAATTATGTTATAAATATTTGCTTAATGCTATCAGAAATTTACCAGTAAAGTGTCATTATTCTTATTTATACTTTACTAACATGTTTTGAAAAAAAAAAGAATTGTACAATTTATTTTTACTTGATACTATTTTTGTTTAAAACAATATTATTATGGTCACCTGCAATCTTTAATTTAAAGTTTTAAGTCAAAAGTTTTTTTAAATTGTTTAAATATATATTGACTTTAGCAATTGAGAAACACATTTAACAGAACACAACTTTTATTGGACACAATCACTTGTTTATTATATAAGATAGGGGGGTTGGATGGCCGAATGGTTAGCACGTGAGTCAATTGGCGTGGTTTCGAATCCCCAGTTGTATGTGACAAGGTTTAGGGTCGCCTGTCCAACCTCATGGGTTTTCTCCGGGTCCTCAGGTTTCCTCTCACTGCTAAAGACCCCTACGCGCAAGCAAATTATTGAAATAAAATTAAACCATATGTTAGTCCCGAAATGACCTAGTTTGTGTCGAGTGGATGTTAAACCCCATTTCTCTCCATCTCTCTCTCTCTCTCTCTCTCTCTCTATTAAATATAAGATAAATGTTTCAACAATTTATTATTATCATCTTTAGTCCCGAAATCACCTAGTCCATCTCTCTCCATCTCTCTCTCTCTCTCTCTCTCTTTCTCTCTCTCTTTCTTTCTTTTCTCTCTCTCTCTCTCTCTCTCTCTCTCTCTCTCTCTCTCTCATAGCTCTTATAATTTATTTATAAAATCCTGTTTTGAATTAAGTCTTCTCTTCAACTTCACTTTTCATTTTGAATATAGTTTGTAGGCCTCTAATCAAAAACTGGAACATAAATTATATTTGTCATGTGATGTCAGCCTTTCAAGCAAACTTATTATTTGTCCATGCTTCATTCACCACAAATAATAGATGAAAGTCAAAAAGGACAATTTCATTTGACTCACGGTTAAGTGAGCATCTTAATAACTGTTTGAATTTATTATAGATTTAATGTGAGATCTAATAGGTTAACAGACATTATATATACATAGTATTTACTGTGTAATAAATGTATATTTATAAACACTATTTTTGATAGTATAAGTAATATTCTTTTTTTCCTCATCTCTGGGAATAATAAATAACCGCAATAGAGTAATTTTAATGAAATTTTCAATGTATTCATTTTGCATTATCTATTTTTGAACTATTGTACATGTAGCAAGAATGGCTAGCTCTTTATCTAAATCTCACATAATGTATCTTTGACTATTCAGTTTTAGCGTAAAAATTAAGCCGTAAAAAAATTAGATATTGTCAGGGACTTTAAAGTTACAATTTCATATTTTTAAGTTATAGTTTTAAAATTTATTAAAATAAAGCCTTAAAATAGATGGTATCTATAAACAGTCCTACCTTGTTAAAGAATAATCCTATAATTCACTATTGCCAGTTAAGAAATTGGTAAAAATATCATTTCCAACTTAAATTCAAACGTTTGAAAATAGCTATTCTATGCGGGGAATAGGAAAACAAGGGGGGATCATGTTATTATTTCCTGTGTCAATGATTTTTAAGTGTGAGAATGACACCTATGATCGCATAATGGTGAGTTGACAACCTATTGAGCAAAAGACATAGAAATAATTATGTTTTGACTTTATTAGAAAATATGAAATTATCACTTTAATATAAAGGTATAGAATGGCCATGATGTAAGCTTTATTTTTGCCCGTATTCATTAGCCCAGTCGGTGCAGAAAAGTAAGACATTAAACCCCATTTTATTTCATTTATTTTTGGCGGTGTATTTAATATTTTCAATTTTTATCCCCTATCTCTGAGATTGTGTACCATACTTAAATATATTCCTGTATGGTTTGTCCCATCTCTCTGAGATTGTGTACCTTACTTAATTGTATTCTTGTACAGTTTGTCCCGTCTATTTTTTTGTTATGCAGTTTTCATTGTAAATTGTAAATGGAAGTTAACTCTACATTTACACCAAGATCTCAATACTTCCTTATTACCTGTCTGTTCTATTTGAAGTCTGGCTCATTCATTCTGATTGGCTTAAATCATTCCTGTTCAACACATCAGCATTCTGATTGGTCAGTTGAGAGGTCAGAACAGAACCCTCTTAATAAAGATGATGTCAGAATCCACTGTAGGTTAAATGTGTTAATGAAAAGTACAGATTAATTTTATAAACTAAAGACTGTTTGTGTAATTTTATAAACTAAATATACACAAATTAATAAAATACAAAAGACAAAATCAATAAATTTTACTAGAAAAATATAGATCAATAAATATATCCAGGCTGATAATTAACAAAGAATTCAGTCACATCTGTAATTTTTTTTTTACGAAATCGAGAAACCATGGATATATTAAATTATTGTCAGTTCGTGAACTGTTTATTAGTTTATTAAAGGCTAAATCTAAAATATAAACTATTTTAATGTGCTGTGATATATGGTATACACAGGTCAAACTATGGAATAAAATGACTGCTTATTAATGAGCGAGGTTTCCACTATACATGTACATAGCTAATCTTTCTATTGTAGAGGGGGGGCAGGGGCCGAATGGTTAAGGTGTGTACTGTGTGCATTGGATCACACGGTCTGTCATTGAGTCAACTGTCCTGTCCAACCTCGTGGGTTTTTTCAGCGTCCTCCAAATTATTGAAATAACATTGAACCATATGTTAGTCTCGAAATGACCTAGTTTGTGTCAGAGTAGATGTTAAAAATTCTCTCTCTCTTTCTCTCTCTCTCTCTTTTCACATCTTCAGACATACATAACTTGACTCAGAATAAAGTAATTTGAATGAAAGTTTTAATATATTCATTTTTCATTATCTATTACAATTACATAAGAAAATACACCAGCTCTTTATTTAAACGAAGAACCATACTTCTGTACGGATGAAGCTTTATTTTCTTTAATTGAATCTTTTATATATAACGACAATTTAATCGTATTAACGTTTAAAAAGTTTATTAGACCAATCAAATTACACTCGTAAATTAATCAAGCATTGTTAATTAATTACTAGATGTACTCCCCGCACCGCGTCGTCGTTGTGGTTAGTTCTGATGAGAATATACAAACTCTATATATCCCATACGAGATGATAAACAAATTACGAGAGCTTATGTCCTGTTACAGATAATTAAATCTTATAATTCTTTAATACGACTCGATTGAAATATAGAAAAATAATTAAATTACACAAATCAACAGACAGATTATAACTGACGGTAATTTTATTTTGATGCGTTCAGTTTTATCTTTAATTTTAAATAAAATCATCTCATATTGTTTTTTGACTGAATTTAAACACAGAAAAAATTTCTAGAGAAGAAAAGTAAGGATAGTATGAATGTCATTACGCTCATATCTGAAACCAAAAACACTATAAAAATTGACAAAAATAAAAATTTGAGAAAAAGAAAAGTTCTGAAAGTATATGTAATTAGATTTGCCTGTAAAACAAATCAATGGGGCCGTGTATATTCATGGTTTATATTGAATACACTTGGTCTTTTACTATCCAACCTCGTGGGTTTTCTCCGGTTTCCTCCCACTATTAAAGATCCCTACGCGCAAGCAAATTATTGAAATAAAATTGAACCATGTTAGTCCCGAAATGATCTAGTTTGTGTCA